TTTTCACAATCTTTCATCCAAAATAAATGGTTTATTATTTAAGAGTTATCACTAGTCAAGAAGACTGAAGCCATATGTTCAACCTGACCCAATAAAGTATCTCAAATACCTTGCTTTTCACAGAGACATATTGAGGTTTTATAATATTGGGGTTTGTCAGCATATATAAAATACCTCTATATACTAAGCACATATATTGTAAACAGACAGAGGAGACTATATAGAGAGCCAATAACTATCACATATTTGGTGCTGAATATATTTTAAATGGCTTTCATGTAAAGAGGTAAAATCAATACTGACCACTACAAAGAATATACAATTTCCTGGAAAGGAAGATACACAGGAAATACCTGACTGCTACTGTAAATAGTAACACAGACTTGGCTGGAGAAACAAATACATTTTCAGTTATCACATGAGTATTTTTGAAGAATAATTTATAGTAATTAATGTTGAAAGATTTAGATATCAAAGGGCTTCTTTTAGCAGTGCAGATTCTTCTTCAACAGCTAGAGGCCTGAGTGTAAAATGGGTTTCAAAAAATACTAATTTTGAACTATTACATCTTTTTCTTAAGCAGTTATTTTCCATGAGAACTGTGACAGAGATTACTTTGTTCAAAGAAACAGTTTGTCTTAATAATGCAAGTAGCTGGGCATTTGTGCAAGGTAATTACTTAGGGTGAAATCCTCATCTCAGTACCCTGAGTACTCAGGCCTTGGGCAGGTGATTTCCTTTACTTTTCATAACAGATGAAACCCTATTTCACCTTCAAGTACCTAAGTAGCACTCAGGTTGCTGTGTAATAATTTTTGGCACTTATGCACAAGTTAGATTTTATTTCCACCTGTGGCAGAAGGGATTGTGCCCCAGGTACATACCTATTGAAAGTAGGACAAAGGAGGAAGAGCAGGGCTCTAGTAGCTAGGGCACTTGCCTAGGGAACAGAAGACCCACATTATAGGGCTTTCCATCTAGAGGGGGTTTGAACCTATGTCTCCCACTTTCCAACAAAGTGCTCTAATCCCAAGCCTGCAAGCTACATACTGCCCACAGCTCTTTTTATTTCTTCTTTTGAAGGCTACCCAATGGAGAGCTGCCCAAATGAAGAAGATGCATGGGGTCAGGAAGAGGGTGGCTATGTGAAGAGATGCCTTTGTGGAAACAAGGAAGCTCTTGGTTCTGGTCCCAGCTGCTGTCTCAGTGTAGCAGAAGCAATCTAATTGCTGTTTATGTGCAGGGTGCACAAAAGCCATTAGGGACAAGTACCAGAAGACTTGTGCTGATCAAGTTAGAACAGAGGAACATAATGGAAACACAAGATAATCTAACTATAGTATTCATGAGTCTGTAAAAGTTTAAAATATGGTTTAAAATATGGGTCTGTGGACACTAGTAGGGACTGGGCAGTTGAAGTACTTGAAGTACAGGCTTCAAAAGTATTTGGCTACTATACTTCTAAATTTATTTGAGGTAGAGCACATATCAGCATCACTTCCTAAGCCTATTCAAAAGGTATTATGCAAGCTGGCACTAACTGATGGATAAAATGGGGGGAGGAAAACCTATATAGCAAGCCCTACTTGCCATTCAGGGGGCAAAGCCACCATATCATGTCCATGAATGCAGCAAAAGGGAGCAGAAAGGATTGCTGAATAGTTCTTGTCCCCTCCCACCAACTACAATCCCAAATTCTACCAAAAGTCAGTCAGAATATGGCACAAAAGGTCATTTATAGAAATGTAAGATTTACATTAGAAATTAAAAGATAAATTTTTAATTATTGCAGATGTTTGCCATACATTTCTTCAACTGGCTGATAAGACACATTTGTCTTTCTTTCATCCTTTCCTTCCACCCCAGGGCTGGGAAAGCCCAGCCACTGGCCCCAGCCCTGGGACTGCGCTTCTCGTACCCTTTCCTTGGCACTAAGCTATTTTTAGCCCCCACAACCCCGACTCCCAGGTGGACCCCTCTGGTGGACCAGCCAGCCCCCCACCCAAGCCTGCCAGACCCCCATCCCACAAGCCACTCCCGGTGCTGGTTTTACTGGCATTTCCAGTGCCAGGAGCTGAGAAAGTAAATTGGGGTAAAGCGAGGTGTGGATGAGATGGGGGATTAGGTTCACTGTGGGGGATAGCTTGTCTGGGGGTGAGGACCCATGGGACTAAAAACAGCCCCTGGTCCTGGGGAGTGGCGGAGAGGGCCCTCCCACCCCCCAATCCCACTTGCAGACCCTGCCTGCACCCCTGCTCCCCGGATCACCTCTCAGGGACCCTGATCGACTCCCTGATCACCTCCATAGACCATGCCTGTCCCCCCAGTCACTCCTTGGGGGCCCTGCTTGCCTTGGTTCCTCCTCATGGACCCCACCTGCCCCGTGATCCCCCCTGTGGTTTCTGCCTACCCCCCTGATCTTGCCCGAGCCTGCTTGCCATCCTGATCCCCTGTAAGCTCTCCACATCCTGACTTACCCTAAATTGGGTGGCCTTATATCAATCTAACCTCCTCATAACCTCCCTGAATGTCTGTATGTACCCAAATTGGGAACTGTACAGAAATTCAGGACAGTTAGATCAGTCTAAAAATGGCCAACCTGATCTAAGTTAGATTACTTCAGGGGTAGGTTTAACTTAGATAATGTCAGCCATTTTTAGACCAATCTAACCTTCCTGAAACTTGTGTACAATTCACACTTTGTTTGACCTAACTAGACCTCTAGGCAAAAGGTCTGCATGTGGGTGAACTAAATTAGATTGGGTGGCCGTTTTCAATCTGATCTAACCTTCCCCTAACCTTTTTGAACATCTGTACACACCCCTTCTTGATTTACTCCATCCATTGTGTATGAGAAAGTATAGCATTGTATTAGTGGCCATTTACATATTTTTAAACATTACCCTGCTATTCAACTCGCTGCTGCGCTTTGAAAAGAGCTTTGTATAACACTTAAAGTAAAACTTAAAGGTGCATGCATCATGAGATGAGAGTAGCTGTACTTTCCAAGCACTAGAACTTAGCATTTCTGTATTCAAAAAAAAGGAAGCTGTTGGATTTATCAGGGTGCTAAGGCACAAAAGCTGACACTATCTGTAGTACATCTTTACTTAAAGGGCTGTATGAAGGAGGGTCACAGCAGGGTTAAAGAACACTGAATTTGTACAATAACTCATTATTTAGGTTAGAAATTAAATAACACTTAGATTATTGACACTCTGCTTTCTTTTCAGTCTCAGCAATCTCTTCTATCATGTAAAGTCTTGGTATTACTCCCACTAAGTATATAGAAAAATATCAGCTTGCCAGGGTAAACAGGTCCTATTGTAAAGAGTAGAGCTGTGACCTGCTAGAGATAGAACAACAGATGAGAAAGCAGCAGCCTGTATTTGAAACAAGCATCTTTTTATTTTCAGTCTCCATCTGCAAGATGATAGACTTGCTTGCAGGGAAAAGAGGAGGAGATTAGAAACTCATGACTTACATCCTATACCACATTGCTGTGCTTTCCAGATTTACATTGCAGTTGAATACTTCATCATGGTTTGACTTTTTCAAGAGCTCTCTGTAATTTGGCAGCACAATTGCTGAAAACCATAGATACTTAACAGATTATAGATCTCCTTGAGTTAGTCTAGGTTTAAGTGTTACCCGGCTATTCTCTATGAAATACTGAATCAGTAGAAGAACAGATTAAATGACCTAAAGTCTATTCTCTCTTTAATACATACAACTAAATAAAAGTGAGGAAAAAAGACTACCATCTATGCATTTATTTCACTATTTATTTAATGCAGTGTATTTCTATTTTAACTGTATGTTTTTTTAAATTATTTTTAATCTCTACATGTTTCCTTTTGTACATTTTATTTTCTGATGTACATACTCTAAGTGACACATTCTACCTGCAGTCACCGAATATGACATATGTGCTATGTCTAATCATCACATTCTATGCACAGACACATGGCAGCAGATGGATATGTAGCTCCTGCCCTAAAACAATAGCAGAGGATTACTGTAGGTGAATGTAAGAGGCCTTGCGTTGAGAGAATCATTAATTAAGTAGACACATTAATTCTAATTTTGCTTATCTTGCAAGAATTTTATACTCTCTGTGAAAAAAATAGGCCAAAAATGAGAAAAATTCTTAGGGAAAAAATTTCCTATTTGGTTTATTACATGGTGGCCAAAAGTCACTTTGCAGTTTCAGTGGGATACAGTATTCTACCTGTCATCTCCCTATGGCCCTTCTGAGTTTGTCTGACTGTGTACTATCAAATAGTTGCTGTGTCCCATCCTGAGGGAGACTGCATTATGGCCCCATCCCTGACTCAAGGAAGTACTTAAATGCCCCATTTCAGCCTTGTGGAGTTGTTTGTATTTTTAGCAATAGTCCAAAGAGTGTTAAGGCTGTGACACATGTGGAAGTAGAGCTACCTAGTTAGCATTTAATGGGGCAGCACAATCCTGGGAGAATAACTGGTCCCTCATTTGTGAAATTCTTTAGGATTCTTAAGATGACAAGGAGATATATACACATAACATCACCAGCTGAAGTTCTGTCAGCCTTAATAGGTAGAGTGACATAAGCACCACTTTGTGGGTTTGCCGTTGAAAATAATAGACTGCTGAAAATAAAAGGAATTTGAGATAGATTCCAATCCTGATATTCTGATTCTGATTTTACATGCCCCATTAGCATAGAACCATCCAGACACATTGTTTAGAACATAAAATAAATCAGTATTTATTTTAAAAAATATATTGTTTTCTGGACTGAGTACCCAAGACAAAAAGTTGCTAGTTGCTATTTAGACACACACTACTTATTAACTATATTGGAAATTGGTTGTTTAATGCACTAAGCACACCTCTAGAAATACATCCCTTTAAAGCAGTTATTAAACTCTTGAGTTTATATCTGTATTGAGAAGGCACTTTACTAGGACAACTAAGAGTTACTTCACAGGGTAAAGGGTGTAGAATTTTGTACTTACTATGTGAGAACTATAGCCACAGCATCATTGAGGACGCTTTCTCCAAAAAGGAGTGTATATAGATCAGTATCCACATGCAGCTCATGGAAAATAGCCAGGACTGTCACTGTGAAGGAAACAGGCAGAGCAAAGCAAACTTGTTATTTTCATGTTTCTGTAACACTTTGTGAACAAAAGAGCAGGAAAAAAGAAAAGGAGTTTTGATTAGCAAGTTTTAAAATCTGAATTATATAACAATCTTCATGTTAACAAAATATAAAAGAAAACGGATACTGCAAATATACCAAATCCTTAAATTCAGCAGTAACTTTCTAGTTCATATAAAATGACAAGACTCACAATATCCATCCCCTCCCACTTTCAACTGTACATGTATTACATAGTTACCATATTTTTATTTAAATCTACTACAGAAACAATAATTTTGTGACTTAAGTAAGGAGATCTAGGTTCTGCTACAGACTTACGATGATTGGACCATAAATTTACTTTTCTATGAATAAGATCATAAAACATGTTCTAATTGGGTTGTGGAGCTTAATTCAGTGATATTTATGAGGCACTTTAAGATGCTTTGAATGCATCACTAATTTATATATTTTTTTCTACAAGGTTGTATATTGCATTTATATTTTGAGATTTTTGGTGAAAAACAGGATTCAAGTTGGTTCAAAATTAAGGCTTGGTAACAACCTCAAAGTATAACTCCTATTAATTTTGTGCCTTAGTTTACTTATCTGTAAAGTGGGACTAGTAATGCTGACTCATCTTTGTAAACTGCTTTCTCTTTTATAAACATGAAGAACATTGTGTATAAGCTTTGTAGATTTCATAGACATTAGGGCTGGAAGGGACCTCAGAATATCATTAAGTCCAGCCCCCTGGCCCAGGGGCAGTCAGTCAGCAGGGCTCATAGGATCCCAGCAAGATAGACATCCAGATGTCTTTTGAAGGCGCTCAGAGTAGGTGCTTTACCCACCTCTGACAGTAGTCTATTCCAAACCTTGGGGGCTCGGACAGTAAAGAAGTTCTTCCTTATGTCCAGCCTGAAATGGTCATGGAGGAGTTTGTGACCGTTTGACCTTGTCATCCCTTGGGGTGCTCTGGTGAACAGACGTTCCCCCAGATCCTGGTGAGCAACCCTGATGAACGTATATGCGGCCACCAGATCACCCCTGAGCCTGCGCTTTTCCCGGCTGGAGTCCCATGGCTCTCAGCCTCTCGTCATAAGGTCTGTTTTCCTGACCTCTGATCATGTGCGCAGTTCTCCTCTGCACCCTCTTAAGCTTCTCTGCATCCTTTTTGAATTGTGGAGCCCAAAACTGGACGCAATACTCCAGCTCCGGCCTCACCAAGGCTGAGTACAGTGGGAGGATGACGTCCTGGGATTTACTTGAAAAAGCATCTGTGGATGCAAGCAAGCATTTTGCTTGCTTTACTAGCAGCAGTATCACATTGCAGGGTCATGTTCATTTTGTGGTCAATCATGATCCCCAAGTCCGTTTCATCCATAGTGCTAGCCAGAGTAGTGCTGCCGAGCCTATAAGAATGCTGCAGGTTTTTCTTCCCAAGGGGGACAACCTTGCATTTTTCAGTGTTAAACACCATCAGGTTCTTGTCCACCCATTTCCTGAGCCTGTCAAGGTCAGCCTGGATCACCCTCCTGTCTTCAGGTGTGGATGCTTTACTCTAGAGTATTGTTTGTATTACTATTTACATTTGTAAATGCAAACAGATTAAAAAAAAAAAGTTCTCAGTGATTTGCATCTGAAAATTACACAGTATCTCATAGAATTTGCTTCACTGGTGCTCATTCTGGTATGTAATTGTGCAATTGCCTAAATCTTAGTAGCAGAGGAATCCTGAAGTTTAGAAATGCCTCCAGCATGTCAGGTTAACATCTGACATTTCAGAAATGGGAACTTACTCCTTTTACACTGAAGCTACTATTGAGGATTCAGACACCAGCATGTCTGGATGATTTTTTTCTCTCATTCAAGGTCCTTACAACTAACGTTCATTATACTGGTAGAACTGAAGCTGTTGCTGAAAGAATTTTCCAAAGCAAAAGCAGAAGCATTTGGAATCTAAAATTAGTTTGGAGATGTAATTCTGATGTTCGTCTCTGCAGAGGTGTTGCTCATACCATGAGTGAGATTAATACATGCTCAAGGCACTCTTCATGAAACTATATTCCATACAGGATAATTTAGGGCTTGTCTGAACTTCAAAGGGTTTGCTGTCATAGCTCTATTGGTAGTATTATACGGAAGGAGCCAGGCTGCCAATGTGGTGTGCTTGGCTGAGCGTGGGTGGGTGGAGGCGGCGCGTGGTTTGCATGGCACTGAGGAGGGAGCACCTGTATAGCAAGAAGCCTGCACAGCATATGAACCTCAGGTCTGTAGCCTGTAAGGCATGTGTCCCCCAGTGAACCAGAAGTTAAACAGCCCTGATCTATACCATATACATACCCATTTTACTTGTGCAATTTTCAAATATCTTAGAGTTAATATACATCACATTTACCTCATCACTCCTATGCATTAGGTCAGTTACTCTGTAAAGGAGGAAATTATATTTGTTTGGGATCATTCATTCTTGACAAAAAACTTGTTTGATGTTTCTTATCACCCTATTATCTTCTAGACGCTCACAAATTGATTATTTAATAATTTGTTCTAGTATCTTTCTGGGTATCAAAGTTAGGCTGACTGGTCTGTAATTCACTAGGTCCCCTTTTTAAAGATCGTCACTATTTGCCCTTCTCTAGTCCTTTGGGACCTCCCTTGTTCTCCACAAGTTCTTGAGGATAATTGCTAATTGTTCAGAGATTACTTCAGGTAGTTCTTTAAGTACTCTAGGGCAAAATTCATCAGCTACTGCGAACTTGAATATTTCTAACTTATCTAAATATTCTTTAACCTGTTCTTTCCCCATTCTGGCCTGTGTTCTTGACCCTTGTAACTTGGCTGAAGCATATGAACACAATTAACATTTTTTGAAAATGGAAGAAAGAGGCATTGTGCATTTTGACCCTCTCTGTATCATCCCCTATTTCCTCACCTTAACGGTTGGTCATAGGTTTACACTTTTCTTCATTTTTCACTTGCTAATTGCAACTTATTTAGTGCTATAGCTTTATCAACATTTGTCTTTTACTTTATTACCTACATTTGCATCTGGCTGTTTCTTAAATCACCAATCAAACTCCTGCATTGACTCCAGTTGTCTCTCCCTCAGCCACGATGTCCTTTGTCCCATAGGAATGATTTCAGGAAAAAACTGATAATGGACCTGAGAGAGCCTCCACCAGTGTAAAAGGACCACTATACCCTGGCAACGTATTCAAACAAAGAAACAAGACCCAAAGAGACAAATATCCCTACACATATCTTAAACAATTTGGGGCAGGGTTAATCAGAAATGCACACATCCATTTTTATGGAATGCATGTCTCTCTGTTTCATTCTGCAAAGCCTTTCTGCTGAATGGTAGATCATAAGATTATTTTGAGCTGCCTACAGAAATCCACAGAAATCTTATATATCATATAATACTGTACATGGACCTACTAGAAATGGGACAATGGTACTTAGGTGCTTAGGGGATACTACCTTAAAATTAGACTTGTTTGGGGAGTAATTTATACCCCCTGATCAGCCAGCTTTGTTCAGTCATCCAGAGTGCAATGACCACCTTTAAAAAAAAAATCAATATTTACCTTGGTTATCAGAATTATATCTGAAATTTTCACCAGTTTACTTCATACCTTGGTAAAAAATGTGGTATTAGATACCATACTGGAGTACAGGTAACCACTGTATTGCTTTCTGAAAGGAAGGCTTTCTGAAAGCATTGCTGACTATCATCAGCTAGATCTGTGTTATGTATTAGGGCTGTGCGAAATTTTGCTGGCAGTTTTGTTTCAATGCTGTTTCGACTCATTTCGAGCTCAAAACAGCAAAATTGAAATAAAACAGAGAGCTTCGAAATAGCTTCAAAATTAAATGAGGCAAGTTGAAACGTTTCGAAATTTTTAAACGTTTTGAGTTTCAAAGCTCAAGCTGGGCTTGCCTGCAGGGAAACAGAAACTAAAGTAAGGATAGGGAGGGGGAAGAGTGGGGAAGGGGCAGAAGAAGTGCTCTCTTTATTGACTGTGTAGCTGGCTAGTGACTGTCATCGTTTCTTGGGGTCTCTTCCAATCCCAGTGCTCTCGGGGAGGGATGGAAAAACTGCATAAAAGGCAGCATTGTTTGAACTGCCCTGCTTTCTGCCTTGGTGTCAGTTGAGTGAGGGCACACCTTAACACACACACACACACACACACACACACACACACACACAGCCACCCATGTCATGAGTTTTGCTTGTCCACAGCTTGAGGTGCATTTTCCCCCAAACCCCTGCACCTATCTCCTTGAAACGTGGCAAGCTTCATGCCCTCAGGAGGGGCTACCAGTCCTGCAAGTTTCATCCAAATCAGGCCAGAAACGACAAAGTTATAGGCTGTTTCGAGCTTCCCCATTATAGCCTATGGGTGAAATGTCAAAACAGCGTCAAAACAGTGATGCTGTTTTGACGAAATGAAATGGAACAGCAGTTTCAAATTAAAATGAAATTCAAAACAAAACGCTGTTCCATCAAAATGCAAGTCAAAACAGAATGATGCTGTTTTGCACGGCCCTAGTATGTATGATATTGTAGATAATTAAGGTGTCCCAAAGTGAGATGTAGTGAGTTAGGTACCACTAGTACAATGCTTAATATACTAAACAAAAATAAACTTGCATCCAAGGACTCACACTCTCTCAGGGCTGAAATCTTGCTCTCAGATTTTAATGTAGGTATGCAAGGAGGTATAGCTGAGAAAGAATTAGAGAACAGCAAACACATCCATTTCTGATGAAGTAGAAAACTTTGCTGTAAGTGCAGTCCACATATCAATCAATGGTCTTGACTCAGAAACAAGTTGATCATTTTCATGAAAAAAAATGCAGTGATAAGAAACCTAAGCAGATAAAGTATCTCAGAATTTCTCAGTATCTGAGCCAAGAAAATATCTATTCTTTTCTTCCTGGATTTTATGGCCTGAGGTGATATCTGTTA